ACGGCCTTAGCTGACACCTGTGGCTCCTCAAAGTTAGTCCTCGCTTAGCGGCCACACTCCAGTAGCCGCCTCGACAGGCAGACTAAACCAAGTGAGGGTCTCCTGTGTTGTGTGTCCCCCGTAACCGATATGGCCCCTCCTTCCCTTTCTCCCTCCCACTTGTTAGCCGTCATCAGCCAGTCATACTCAATTCCAGGGTTGGTGCATTCGAATCTCGGGTGTCGCTACCACTGGGATGGGTTATGACTGCCTGATGACGGCTAACAAGTCAGGAAGGACCATTCTGGTTTCTCTTGTCTTTGTCAGTTCCACTTCATTACTTGGAAAATGTCTTTAAAAAACTTGATAGAAATATTGTTTTATTTTTGTCATGGAACATAACGTCTTCTTGAAGGACAATACTTCAAAAACTAATTGAAAATATAACTGTATAGCCATTTGGTCTAATATCTATAGGTTTCTTTGGTTTGTATGCGGCGCAAGAAAAAAGTAGAGGGAAACATTTTTTGTTAAAAGGACCAATTATTTTTCCCAAAAAACCTTCCAACATCATACCTGCACAACAGGCTAAAAACAAGAAGTTAATTATTCGAGTTGACTGATTATCGCGAGAACTGATCTCCTTAAATGCTGTAGACAATGGGGTGCTATCAGTAATTATTATACATCGGCAAAAAAAGAAGGAAGGGTAAGTTTTTTTGAAAAAGAAATAAATGTGCTCTTGCAAATACAAAAACTGTCGTAGGACAAAGGGAGGGGGGAACTGTGCATCACTCACAGAACCCCGCCGCTCTAATTACTCTGCGAACTTTAATAACATGACAAGTACTGAGGAGATTGAGCTCGTCCTTCGAAATGTCAAGCATGAAGATGTGGTTCGCCACCAAGTAACTATAAAAAAGGTAGCATAATCTCCTGTCCGTGGCACAGGTCGGATCTACGTAGGTATACAAGTACATACGAAATCATGAATATTATCTACGTATTTTTAGAGGAGTATGGATAAATACGGGGCAGATTGCGATGAAACCTTCTGGGTTAATAGCCGTCGTCAACCCCCCCCCATCCCAAACAGCACTTTTGAACAACCTGGGATGCAGACCCAGGTTCTTTGCTTATTAAATAGTAAAGAATCAAACGCTAGTTGTCTTGTCAGTTATAATCGGATGTATTGGCGTTGATGATGGTTTCATTGCTCAACTTGGGGGAAATATCATCCCGTTTCATGAAAAACAGGTTAAAGGCTTTTCACTAAATTGGCCTTTTAAACGTGCCCTGTCGCACAGTCCTTTTCTTACTAATAATCGGAGTGTCCAACTTCGATATCGCCATGTCAATATTCCCTTCACGACTCTTAGCAAGTGACATCGAAAAAAAACATTATTATCCTCACCTTCGCATACCTGCTCGTATAATTGAAGACGTTAAAACAAAAAAGGACATCGGATTAAACCTTATATTTCTTGTTGCTAAGGTTATGAGTGAAAGGGAAGATCATCTAATTTTCCCAAAGTGTTTAAGACAAATTTGGTATTTTGACTTGGTGTGGAGAATGGGCAAACGCACATGTGGAGATAAGCGGATTGCGGGGGTAGTGGAAAGGAGAGGTAGGGCAAGGCAGAATGAGGCTTGTTGGCATAAATATCCCATCATTCTTTACTGCTCTCCAGTTATTTTCCAGCTTTAATCAAAAAACACCTGGCAATTTTTGAACGAATCCGCCGAATGCTCTCTTCAGCTGCCGGTGTTTCCTATGCTTTTTTTAACTGGTAGTATAATACAGCGACACTTTAAAACGGTCAAGCAATTTGCTGATCGCATCCTTGGTGAGGTCGCTCACGCTCTCCACTCTGAACTAATGGCTGCGAAGTCTTCGCCAAAGTTTCCGTCATATGTCTTGCCGTAGATCAGTATATCAGCGCTCTATATGCCCATTCATAGCACGCTACCTCACGTGTGAAATGGAAATTCAGAAGTTGAAAGCCGACCTGTCTCCATACCAGATGTGGATATCGTGCTTTAAACTGTGAGTATTATATTGCCTTTTACCTTGCCTTATCCCTTGCTCTCCGTGAATGGAGTCAATTTTCCTGAACATTTTGGATAATTACCTTCAAAATGAAGTATATTTCTCGCTCAAAAACATGCGAGCCGCGGGTCTACTAGGAAGCTAAAACCACTAACATTAGATTGCCTTACTCCCGAAAGGTGAAGATCGAACGTTGATGAGGCAGTTTAAAACATATTTGAGGTTTTTATTTCTGTTTATTAGATTGATTTGAGGCGCAAAAGGCTGTTTACTGAAAAGGAGTTGAGTTCAACTCGGTATATTTAAGAAAATCATGGGCAAAATTGGACAAAATCCAACGTTTCCTGGTATCCAAGTAATTTCCTACGCTATTAAACGCTGTGGATCAAAATATCTTCTTTGTGTGTGTGTTACACTATAAACGACCATAAGCCAGAAAACATTTAACCATATATACCAGAGAACAGAAAATTTTGTTTTGCAAATCAAGTAACTGCAAGTGTAGGAAATCACATTGTTTTCGGTAAAAAAAAGAAGAACGGATTCAGTTGAAAAAAATTAGTTTCCAAAACCAATCAAAGTTTCCCATTTTTACCTCGACCTAACCCCTGAAAAGTGTAAAGTACGCAGATAGTCGACATAAAAATATCTAAATAAAGAACTTTTTCAAGAGGTAAATTGGCTTAGAATATTTTTAATTTATCTTAGATATATCAGTTTGTGACTTTTGATTTGGACGCCCATTTTGATCGCCAATGAATTAGCATGTTTGGGTGAGGCTACAAATATGACCCAAACAGACAAATGTATTAAAAAGTATGCCCAAAACTCACAATTGCAATAAATGCTTTTAAGGAATATCTTATTTTTAAGGTTTTGATGAACACCAGAACAGAATCCATATCCATGGACAGTTGACTGAAAATATCGAAAATCATAAAGTATTTACCACTATTTCAGGAATGATCTGAACCTCGTCATAATCATACACCCGAAATAATTACAAAGAAATGTGACAAAAAATTCCTCTTGATATACATAAAATGGTACGTTTACGATTGCACCTGACAATTCCATTTAAATTTATTAGCCACTGACCGGCATGTCCACATATGAGTTTATTTAGTATCTTATTGCTGTGAAGTCCTAATCAGCAAAAGCCAGCGGCAATCTGTTTGCCTTATTCCGACATATTCTAAACAATGTATAAAAGGAAACAACAGGAGATCGTTCTCGTGAAACCATGCTGTAATATATCCTCGAACTTTGGACTGCTTGGTAACTGCCGTACTTTACATGGAAGAATATGTCACCGAAAGATTAACAAAAGGAATAATTTCAAATGTAATTCTACTTATGCCACTTTATTTGTTATTTTTTGCATGAACAGGCCTTCTCGACTTTTAAAGCTCAAGTTTACTTATGAAACCCGATCTTTCACTTTTGCGGAATTCTCCACTTTTCTAAAAAGTTGGTATTTCTAAACAATGTACTATTAATTTATAGACCGCAATATGCCTACTTTTTAAGAACGATTGTTCCTTCACTGCCGCAAAACGTTTTGGGACGCAGTGTGGGTGGATTGTAGGCAACATAAATTTTCGTGCTTAATATTCAGGACATTTCATAAGACAGGCAATTGACTGTAGGTGTACTTTCCCACTTGAAGTGCCATGCCATGAGTTTCGGAGGCCACCGCATGTATGTACATACGAAACCAGAGACAGGAAAGATCACTGTCCCTGAAAATGAGATGTTGGCATTGATGGCCGTACAACTGGGTGCGAGCACATGTGCACCGGTGTGGATTTGACTAACTACGCTGACCTCCACTGTGGACATGAGGAGCACGCTGCGCACCCAAGTGCACGGCACTCAACACCTCCCAAGTATGCCGCGGGAAGTCAAAACCAGAGCCGAAGCAATTTGCTGTTTCTGTAGCGTGCGGCGGCGGCGGCCGCAGAAACGGTGCTGGTAGTCTTCTACAACAACGATAAAGGCAACATTGCATCCCAACAACGGTCGGCCGCGCCATGTGACCAGCACTAGCAATGCCTCTGCTGACTCGTCCGAAGGTGGTGGTGGTTGTTGTGGTAGTAGTCGTGGTGGTGCTACGATCATGGTGGTCGTCTCAATGCCCCGCAAACGAGTGGCCTGCCTGTCAGCCTCGACCACCCCTATCATCCGCAGCCGACCGAGAGTCCGGGAGATTTTTGACAACGGGGAACGCACTCCTATTTAAACCGGTAAAGAAGCATCAGTGAGAGAGTGAGAAAAAAGAGACAGAAAAGAGTTACCATTATGGTCCTGCCTAAAAACGGCTCGGTTGGTACATAAAAAAGAGCCCGCTTAAGTGGGTAGGTGTTAGTGCAGTACTCGAGGAGAGAGGCTAGGCAAATGAGTGAAGTAATTCGGCCCCGTTTCTATGGCTTAAGTTGCACGTACCGAACGGTCGAAGTTTTTTTTCTGCTGCATCCTATGCCGCAGCGTGCTGCAAAATTCCTTCCCTGAAGGTTTCTTTTTTTCAACGTTCTTTTTAGAGGCAACTCGTGTGGTTCTACTTGTATACTACGATAAATATTGCTGAAAGAGATAATCGAGGGCCAAGATGTCCGAGATAGTAAGGAGACACAGGTTTGTGTTAACTTACAGAAAAAACAGCTTCACGAACATAATCAGAAGAAATTGCCAATTGATCTTCAAAGTACTTCACAGGTCCTCCTTGTTCAAGAAGTCCTTTTATTTTATTTTTTCAGCTACTGCTGATAATCTCTAGAGGCAACACCACATCTTATACAAAGTTGAAGCGACTCATGCATATATACTTGCAATACGCTCCACTTAGAACATATAACTCAGAATCAAAATGCATTATACGTTCAGTTCGGTCAAGTCCTTACACATTATAGATCCTGTTTTAGTCTGCTTTTCTCGTATTCACTAGCAACCCTCCTCCACCCCAGTTTCTAATGAAGATGATCCTCATCTCACATCATGCATCCAGTTCTCCTTTCACTTATATATGCCGCGAATGAAGGTATTGGGTTTAATATTTATTTTAAATTAATGTTTCGGAGAGCCAAGCAAAACTCGAAAATTTGGCTTAGAATATAAATCTGAATTCATCCAGTAGTTTCGGCGTAGATATAACCTTCATTCTGAGAAGTAGTCACATTAAAAACCACATGGGAAATGCTGGACGACTGTTTTCAGTAGTTCGTCATAGATAAACCCTAACCACTACGATTCTAAGGCCGGGTTTCAAGTAAGTAAAGAAAAAGCTGTAGGGAAACTGCCTTCTGTACAAAATAAAGGAGCTAGAGAGAAAGAATCCTGGACAAGGGCGAGTTATGTAAGTCCGCGTATCCACCACCAACCCCAGGATAGTGTAAAAAACTAAATAAATTTCCGCTAACTTTACTCTTTTAGGCCTGCATACAGCGACGAAACCGATATTAAAATATAAATAAAAACAACTCTCAGTAAATAAAATTAATTCGAATAATAAAATCCGCAATAAAACAGAACTGTTCATGCCATTATATGAATTTCACAGTTACCACACAGGGGGTTGCTTCCCATAGCTATAAAATACTAAACCAAACCAGGCCAGGCTATTTATGTTAAACCCAAGGATGTTACATTTCCTATCCTCACCGGCATCCTGTTTAGACAGACACCTGCAAAGTCCGTCGTGAGATCTACAGGCCATGCCGCACGTCGACGAAACTTTGTGGGGAAAACGAAATCGCGGCTATTCATCAAAGTGGACTATCATGCTCGGCCAAAGTGGATACATTTTCTTTGATGGGGGCACCGCAGGAGTACCCGAACACTGAGAAGTTATATTTAAAAATGTGCATGCTCGCTGCAAATTGAACGAGCTGCAGTTCAAACCTGCATCGGCGACTGCATCCAAAAAGCGCCCGTTACCTAGTTTGCTTTTCCTTCATAAAATGATCACTAGTATAATGAACTCAAAGTCTGCAAACGTACGTTTTCCATTATTAATCACCGGGCCCGCAAAGCAATACAGGTTATCGTTATCAAACGAAAGTCTGAGGACGAATAATCGAAAAAGCTCGTTACCAACTTTGAGTTCTTCAACGTTTACAAGAGCAGCATAGATAAATACTTGGTTTTTACTGACTACCAAATCTAAACCTACGTCGATAGTCCATTAAGGTACGAAAACCATATGCTATCGTCACTATACTAACCCATCTTAGTATGTTGTCAATCCTGTCCGACACAGGTGATTCCAGGTTGGTGAGCAGGATTTGGTAGAAGTGGGGAAGCCTAAAACGGCTGAAGAATTACCGGTCATAGAAACGGCGGAGGCGACCCGTCCCGTGGCTAAATAGGACGTAGAGCCAGTGCACCCAAAGCAGGGTACGGTAAATTGCTTACCGCGGCCTAGCTTTGTGCAGCACGATCCTCAATATATGCTGCAAAGCGAATCCTTAATTCCTTGGAATACCTTCCAAGAAAGTGGATAACGAATGTCGGTTGGATTAGTGACTAGGCGGCCGCCCTCGACAGGATAGCTAGTACGCGCGCGACTACAGTCGCCTGCGCCGATACCTGTCCTAAGTTTCAGGACGGCAAACGTCACCAAGCCAGCACACACTTTGAAGTCCGTATCTTTTTATTGATAGTTTCAACTAATGTTGGAATGTAACTCTTCCCGTAGAAACGCTTCAAAACCCGATGGGCAAGCTATTTGGTAAGATATATCAAAGGAGTTACCGGCCATGACAACGTGAATAAATTATTTGAAGGCACCCTGCATAGGAGAAGAGCCTTTGGTTGAAAAACCATAAATTAGAAGTTTGTTCGGAAAATGAGCAATTAGAAGGTTCCAATGTAGTTATCAAACAAAACCCGCGGATGGCATGAGGAGCAAAAGTTTCATTCATATAACATAGGCTCTGTTGGGTACATTTGGGATCAAGCATAATTTTTCAAGATATCAGCATACTGATTGGGCTCGAGTTCGCTTTTAAGAGAGGTTATCAGCTGTTCGGCGGTAGTTCTGTGTTCATCCTCCAGCAGCATCCAAGCCACATCGAAACGCGGCAAACGCGCCAAAGCGGTCAAGCGATTAGCTCGTTCATGCGTCGAGAGGCAAGAGCTCTGTGAAGTAGCCGTAAGGAGGCGTGCCAGACAGGAGGAGTCCAGGTTCTGACCAATCACAGTTGCATAATTGGAAGGCTCGATTGAACAGAGGTAGTCCACTGCTTTGGGAGCAAGCCCTGCCATACAGGACTGATGCTGTTGCAGCTCGCGTAGGTCACGCTCCATCTGGTACCAGTTGGAAGGTGGATGAACGGGCAGCAGTCCTACAGGGGTCTCCTTGCCAGAAGTCTGTCGAGGAATTTGCTCAGGAGTAGGGGAATTCCGAGGCATTACTTTCGCCGCTGTCGCTCGAACTGTCGACTCGCCAACATCACCCTTGGAGAGGTCTGTGGAAGCAAGAGGACCCGATTGACCGCCAACTTCGTTGATTGGAATGCGCC